TTCAAAATCTGCCTGAAACCAGTTTAAACCAAGTTCAAAACCAGTCCAAAGATAGGTATACAGCCAGTCCCAACCAGCTCTAAAAGTAGTCTTAAACCAGCTCCAAAACTAATCCAAAACCAGCCCAAATTAAGTAGAAATCAAGTCCAACATCTGCCTGCAACCAGGTCTAAAACCAGTTCAAACCTGCCTAAAACCAGTCAGAAATCAAGTCGGAAATATGTCTGAAACCAGGTCCAAAAGTAAGTCTAAAATAAGTCTGAAACCAGGTCTGAAACCAGTTTTACCACCAGTTCAAAGCCAGTCAATAAGCAGGTGTAGACCCAGTCTAAAACCAGGTCCAAACCCAGCCTGAGCCTAGTTTATCATCATGGTTCATGGTCTCGCTGAGCAGGTGAACTCACTGTAAGAACTGTGATCTCACAAACATACATGAATGTCTCTTCTGGAGGCCTGTTTGACTTTACAAACGTTTCTTCAGTTCTTCATCACTTCTCATGTAGACACATGCTCGTCCCGTATCTGGATGCATGAGAACGTGGGATTCAGACTCTGCCTGTTTAGATTGTAGAAGATGAAGGTCCACATTGTTCTGAGTTGTTTTACGGTAGAACGTCCAGCCTGTGAGTGGACAGACCTTCATTTTTTAGAAGTGAGCTGCAGAAACTATAGAAACTGTAGAAGTTGTAGGAAGTGCTCCTCCCTCGTTCCTGGGCTGCTGCAGCTCATAGAGCTTCTTGTGGCTCCATGGTGACGGCAGTTATGCAGGAAAGATAAGGCCAGAGGCAGCCGGAGCCCACTGGGGACTCTGCTGTTTATAGATGTGCTGCTAATGTAAGGAAGCCTTCCATTAAGAGCACGGGTCACAGCGCCAGGCCTCTGTGGACAACCAGCACCAGCAGACTGGTTCAGAAACACAGTCACGCTTACAAAAGGGATTCTGGTTGGATCTAAAACCAGTCCATTTACACCTAAAACCAGTCCAAAACCAGTCCAAAACTACACATAAAACCAGTCCAAACCAGTCCAAACCAGTCCAAAGCTACACCTAAAACCAGTCCAAAACCAGTCCAAAACTACACATAAAACCAGTCCAAACCAGTCCAAACCAGTCCAAA